CCTTGACGTCTCCGACCCTCTTGCATAAGTTTGTTTCGCATATGAAACTTATCTGGAAGTCTTCTTCTTTGTGGAAACTGCATTTATTTTATCATCGGCCTGTTTATGTACATAATGGTCGCTCCCCCTATTACATAGGTCAGAAGACGATGGAATTTGCACTTCGGTAAACCGGTAGGTAGTAAAAATGCGTAAATGCAGATAGGTAACCATCCCAAAATCAACCTTGACATCGCGTCTACAGAGTATGCACTTATGAATAAATTTACTTGACAGTACAGCTCTTGAAGTAAAAAAGCATATTCGCTGAAGTTATTATACAACACACAAAATTTCAATGTGGTATTGTATTTTCACTTAAAAGATAAAGAAAGACACTTTCATTTCGATGCTTCTGCACGCCTAGGTATATACGGATGAAATTCTGGCGTTGAGTCTGAAGTAAACAGCGTGTATCCCAGACTACTTACCAGCAGTGTTTCTCTGAAGCCTCAAACTTCACCTCCGTGTCAGTGACTCCATCCATGCTATTCATGGTATTTCTGTGCATCAGAGTATCCAGACTTGACTTTCCCAAGGAATCTTGTTTTTTAGAGGATAAATTTTGACTCCATTCTACATAGCTATCCATCAAGCCGGGGTTTTCGTAATCAAGTTCTCGTATTGTGGCTACGATGCTTCGCCTTCGACCAAATCGCTGTGTTTTCGGTAGTTTGAATGCATGGGCTTTGTTTAAAATGGCCACATTTGATTTTTTTGAACTTTTCGGCTCTGAAAAGGCAAACTTCCTTTCTGCATGTTTACTTCTTGTGCCCAATTTCTTGGTAGCGTTGCTGCTGTTGTCATCTAGTTTAACCTCGCGTAGGCCAAAGGAGACGCTTTTTGTATTTTGAACAACAGAGCCGCCTGTGGCCAGCGCATGGGTGTTTGTTTCCTTCAGCCGGTTTGTTTCGGTCGCTTCCGACTTAGTGAGATTTCTCTTGCTCCCCTCTTCCTCTTCTTGTTTGTCTGTCTCCTGTTGTGACTGATTTTCTTGTGTGTGTTTGATCGTTTTGGTCATTTTATGTCTGGAATTAAGCATGGTTTCATGCTGTCTGGGAGACTGGTCGTACTGCATGCTGTCTGGCATAGCTGCCAGCGCTCCTCTGGTGTTATTGTTGGAAACTTCGGTGAAAAAACTCTTCCTCGTTGGTACTGCATGAGCTCCTCCCAACGAACTTTGCATTATTGTATGATGGGAGTCATTTTCGTCAGCGGGTTGTGGGACTTCGATCAGGTTGCTTGGCTTCTTGGTGACTAACTGGGCTGGACCTCGCAGATTATAGTCCACGTTGACCGGGAAGTGAGTCTTGGCGGACTCAGTTGTCAGACCATTGAGGTAGGTACGAATATCAAGTCGGGTTTTAGCAGTTTTCATGGCGCAAGCGAACAACTTATTCTGGGCATGTTCTCGGGCCGCTTCCTTTGCTGTTGGCACATCTGCCAGCTTTGGGTTTAGGTGGGGTGGATAATAAGGCGCCGCAAAGGGTATTTCGTGGGCTTCCTTGGCACCCTGTCCGTTTTTCTGCATCTGGAACCAAACATCACCAGGCTCACCACCCAAATTCCGGTTTTCTCGGGTGAGATGAAGCAGACCCTTGCGTCCGCTTGATCCACTATGCCCGAGTCCTTCCTCCAGGTAAGATGAGTAAACATCCTTCGGCGGCGCAACTGTGACACGCGGTTTCTCTCCATCAACGCCATGTGCCTTCTGTTGCGCAGCCTCGGGAACTGCTATTAACCTTTTCAGCTGCTTAGTTCGTAGTAAGTCGTCACTTGAGTCTTTAGTTTGTTTCATTATTTTAGGCCTCTTGTTTCGCTTCTTTTTGCCAAACTCGTCGTACACGTGTTCTGTCAGACGCTTGGCAAAAGAAACCGTACCAAATCTGCCCGTAATCAGCACATCATCTTTTGCGGCAGCCGCAGTGCACAGCTTTGAAACGTCCGCATGAACGCCTGTGGTGGCTGTAGAAGCCTCGGTTACGTCAAAGGCCTTCCGCGTGGCAGTTCCCAAGGCCCAGTTCGGATTTAAAGTTCCTCCCATCAAGAGGAGTCGTCTGAGCTCCGGAGGTAAGGGTCGCATACACTTGTTTTTTGCCAAATAGTCCAGTACCTTTGTAAGCGTCTCTGCGTTTGCACATTTAACGCAGATCGATTTCTGCTTCCTCAAGTAGTTTGGCATAATCTATGGGAGCGCAATTGCTGAGTTTAAGTGCTAAATTCTGGTAAGTCTGAAAACATACCAAAATGTCCCTGTTACTCATGTCGAGTGAATGGTTTACATGCATCCAAACAAATGACCGACAGACCGTCAAGATATTTCGGATCTAGTTGGGGAAACCGTCCCTACGAGCAAAGTAAATTATTTTTCGGTGTCCACCAGTAAGCGAAAGCTGTACGATAGATCTGAACTGACTGTTCTGAACTGAATGACAAATACACATGAACAATTACTTCATGCTGATCCGCAGGTCCATCCTGCCGTGCAGTTATCCAAATCACTTTGAAATTTTCGACCATTCCTGTCTTCGTATGATCAAGATAGTGGAAATCCTACGGGTTCATAAAGGCAAAAAACGATTTAAATCAGTTTGCATGGCCGAGTGAAAAGCTTCTGTATGAGGAGTTTGTTTGGTTCCACCTTTTTCTCACTGAAACTGGATTCTACCGCACCCGTCTTAGGACCACAATGCAAGTTCCGTTAAAACCACATGCATGACATTTCTACATTGTCAGGCGGACCGCGTTTGGTAGGCTGCTTAGTTCAAGTAAATTACATGTGCATAGCTGAGCTTTATTATTAATGTTAGGTTCGGCACGCTGTTTAATTAATTCCGTTCACCTAAGGTCGTGTGGACCCGAGATGACTTTTATGTGCAATGATAACGTTCCTTCCACTTTATAATAGTGGCTTTGAACTTGAATTCAAGGGATGCTATCATCTTCTGGCGAATAGTGATTTATTTATTGCCTGCCAAATGTTCTATTTGCCTTCTTAATTGAGGCATCAGACATCACTTTGTCATCTGTTACCCACACAAAGCAAATGTTACTGGAAGCGGAATTCAGCAACTTCAGTACAAAGGAAAGAAGGGTCACATGTGGTTATGTAGTCGTACCTATGATAAACAGACCTCAGCCACCTGTAATGCGGGAACGGTGGTAGAAAGGGTTATTACATGTGGAGAAGGGGAAAGCACAGGCGAATAGGTCAAGTAATTGTATGCAAAAGAAAAGCTATTAGGAATGTGCGGTTGTACTTATGGTGATAGTGAAGTGGCTGCCCTGACCACGAACATTAACCCCTATCACGACCCTAACCCCTCACCCTTAACCCTAACACTAACCCCTAACCATAAACTCTAACCCTAGCCCCTAATCCTAACCCCAACAGTAACCCTTTAACCACAGTCCTAATCCTTAGCCGCAGCCTTAAACCCTAACCTCGAAGCATCCAACACGAAAGTTACAAGGAGATGACACGCCGAAAGTCAAGAACGACCACCCGTGTTGGGCCACTAAGGCAGACACGGCAACAAAGGAATAAGGCCGCCAACAGAAAACACACCGCAACGCACAGCAACACCACCCCAAAGTAATCGCAACAACTAAAAATACTGAAGTATGTCAACAGTATTGTGTCCATCAGGTGCGGCTATACAACCACATCATACCGAAAGAAAGATATTAATAGGTCAAAAGGCGTGTGGAGGGTTTGACGTTTCCTGAAGTTACTTTGCCTACCCAGCCTCACAGACTACAAAGTCATGTGCACAGTTCTCATTACATGGAGACCTTAGCCTGCCGCGTAGCCCGTGTGGCTGCATCCGACCTGCCTTTCATCCTGTCCTGTGTCGCCATCACTCTCTCGACCGCGGAGATAATTTGCGGCACCGATTACTCTACGCCGTGACTGTCTCTGGTCGAGAAGCTTCGCAAAACCAGATAGGCGGCGGTAAATTAATGAGGCGATAAGCAGAACGGGTTTTCGTATCTACAGTTGCTGTATGATCATCGCCTCGGTCCACGATCTCAACGATGTCAAAGTTGAGGATGTGTCCCATATGCGCGGCAAGGGTTGCCATCTCCGACTTTGAGTCCAACTTTCGCGCGACCAACTGATGCTCGTGAATTCGCGTTTGCAGCCGTCGTCGGTCTTCCCAACGTATATGCGCATCCCCCAGCTGCACTGAAGTCGGTAGACAATGATCGACACCTTTTGTTTGGGGATATGGTCTTTTGTCGCATCATTTGCCGGCGGGTTGTTGAATCAGACCTGTGAGCAACTATTCTGAAACATCTTTTGTAGATTAAGGCAACAGCTGTACAACGTAGATCTGGTTTTAACATAATCAGCACTAATTCGGTCATCATTGCTTTTGTCGAATCGGTGCTACGCCAAACCGACGTCACAGACGAGAAAAAAGACTCCCTTTGACATCAAGTCTGCTAGATGCTCATTTGTTTCTAAGACTGAAACAAAAGGCTTCCAGGAAGTTTGGAGAGGACACTGAAATACTTATTCCGCCTGTCAACAAAAGTCGGTCAGCCGTTCTCCTTGACAAAGTAAACTACCGAAACAAAGCCCTCATACTCCTCTACAATCGAATGTCCTGCAAAGTTAGCGATGCTGTTAGTCTAAGGTCACTACTGACGAAGGCTAACAGAACTTTGGTTCATTTAAAGAAGAACAAGGTCAGTACCATGAAAGAATGGTTTATGGCAAAGCCCATAGAAGCATCTATAGCGCGATTCTACGGTCTTCCAAAAGGACACAAATCAGATGTTCCCTCCGACCAATCGTCTCCCTCTGACGCACATCCACACTGGGGCCTGCAAATTGGCTATTCCAGAAGCTGAGGTTCCTAGCCATGAACTCGCAAACAGCAGTGCACTCAAAAGAGCAATTTATCTGTATAATAACGGCGGTCACAATCGAACCGAATGAGAGGATGCTATCATTCGACGTCCGCCCACTCTTCAAGCTCCTACCACAGGCCCTTAAGGTCGAACAACTTGGTGACCTGCTACGCCCGAATTACGGTGAGAGCGGATACCAGTTCATAGCTCAGGGTCTCGTAGTTGGTCGTGCAAAAGTTGGACTCAAAGTCGGAGATGGCAACCCTTGCCGCGCATATGGGACACATCCTCAACTTTCACATCGTTGAGATCGTGGGCCGAGGCGATGATCATACAGCAACTGTAGATACAAAAACCCGTTCTGCTTACCGCCTCATTAATTTACCGCCGCCTATCTGGTTTTGCGGAGCTTCTCGACCAGAGACAGTCACGGCGTAGAGTAATCGGTGCCGCAAATTATCTCCGCGGTCGAGAGAGCGATGGCGACACAGGACAGGATGAAAGGCAGGTCGGATGCAGCCACACGGGCTACGCGGCAGGCTAAGGACTCCATGTAATGAGAACTGTGCACATGACTTTGTAGTCTGTGAGGCTGGGTAGGCAAAAGAACTGCAGGAAACGTCAGACTCCCAATAATCCTTTGTCGGTGAATGGGTCTTCCTCTTTTAACATATCACGTGAGAATCGCTTTTTCGTCAATACGGATATTAATTTGTGTTTTAGCGTTTTTGTTTTATTTTTGGTACGGTAGGGAGTCGGAAAGACGAAGTATGCGTAAGTGTAGTTAACTTTGCTGTTGCCGTTCCTTGAAAATGGCATACAGGTCATTAAAATCGCATATTCTGGCCTTCATAGTTGATATTTTCCGCGTGCTGTTTAGACAAAACTAAACTTTGCCTGATGACACATTAGTAGAAAACTTTATACATGTTGGTCGTTGGTTAACCATTACGAACGACGCTGGGTCTAGAAGATTCCATGTGGCGTAGTTACGTGGCAAACGGAATTACAGCAAGGCTTGGGGATGAACTCAGAGATGCGAAAAAAACGAGACAATGAGTGGTTTTTGTCAGAGGGTCAATTACGGAGCTTCATGTGAGCAAGCTCAGTCAATGCAGTGAGAATTTACTTTCTGTCTTTGACCCTCGTTTAGA